ATATATCACATTTTTCACATCACTGTATCACCGTTTAGACTAATCCGATGTTTGTAAAGTCTATAAACACAATGATTGAACAAACATTACTATTTCTTAGCCGTTAGCGGTGTCTGTAATAGGTAATAACTCATTAAACGGTCTGTGAAAAAAATATTTTTTCCAGCGGATATCTTAGTTACAACATGATTGAGCTAGCAAAGCAGTTTTGTGTTGCTGTGTGGTATTTATTCAGTTTTGGGAAATGACGATGTCTAGAAAGCATCAGTGGCTGCAGCTGACAGGGACAGCTAACACTAGCAGCAAAGCTAACATCAGGACGTCATCTGTTAAAAGCCTCCCGTTGTCAGATACGACATGAAACTACTCCAGTTAGCTCAATCATGTTGTAATTAAGACATGTGCTGGAAAAAATATTTTCTTCACGGATGAGCACATGTTTGAAAAAACGGAGTTTAATCTCTCGGCATCCATTTTCAAGCTCTCTGTGTGTTTGTTTCCTTGCGGACGAGAAAAGGGGGAGCGCACATTTCCGAAAAGGCGTGTCCTTTTCAAAAATACAAGAGGTGTTACTTTGTTGCCGGCCGTTTTCGCCGGTGTGTTAAACACACTTTAGAAAGGAGTGTCCCCAGACTATCAGAAGGCGGAGATCTCTGATTGTCTGGTGGCGAGACCAGGCAAACCCTTGGAGGTCTTGCCTCCGGAAGAAGAGCGGAAGAGCCCTGGTTTCCGGTTGTAGGCTGTTTGTAGTCCGCGTGATATTGACCAATCACGTTTGAGCCGGCTGCAGTTGTTGCCAGATTGAACGGTCCGTGCGGTGAACTAACGAGGCATAACATAAGTGGCGTCACTGCAAACTCTGGTCGGACACAAAATGAAAACATTTTAAGACATTCAAGAAATTTCTGGGATGATTATGCTCTATTTTCTGACATTTTATAGACTATTCGGTTAATCAATATATCAATTAATTGAGAGAATAGAAATTGTAGAATTGATTTATTTCAGTTTATTTCTGGCATAATCTACAAGATTTTTAATCACTACATAGCAGATCAGCACAACATGCAAAAAATATGACAGTTGTCTACAAACAAGAATATAATTCAGCCTATAAGGAGAACAAAGTTTCCTGTCTTAAACAAATATTTACTTGGGTGAGTGGAGCAGTTTGTTTAGGAAAATTTCTCAGAAAATCAACAACTACTGATTGAACAAAGTCAGCAAAACTAAACTTCAAAAACCTTGTGTGTATTTTCTGTGGAATTAATACCAAATAACTTTGTTCATTCCAGCAAAACGTCCAAGAAAATTATGAGGGAAATTATAGACCTGTAAAATAAAACTTTGCCAAATTCGGAAATGGTTTAATAATTAAAAAATTTGTATTCATTGGATGCTTATTGAAGCGGTAATAAAGTGTTCTGTGAGTTAAATGGAAAGTTAGCAGTGCATTACACAGACAAAGGAATATAAAAGGGACGGATGTGCAAACAATTAAAGTAGAGCACAAAACAAAGACCACAGTTTCAGGTTATGACCATGAGGCAGATTTAAAGGAGGACACAGGACTTGCCTGATCTTGTTTAGGTTAGTTCACAGCCTCGGGGTCCTGGTGAGGAAAGCTCAACCATTTTAAGACTGTATTCAGTTCAGTTTTGATTCTGTAGTAACCACAAGAGAGTTTTGCCTCATAAGGGATTACAGGATATAATTAATTGACTGATTTTATACACAAAGGTCATTTTACCCGTAATGAGGAGCAGTAAAACTCTTTTAATAATCTAATAATCAGTCCAAAATGTACTCCCTGCTCCATCTGGTCTCATGTAGCTCAGTAACTCCAGCGCAGTTCAGGAGGTCAGATCCCACTGCTTCACACATGAAAATCAAAAGATGAGTAAACTGATCTTTGTACAATCGTGTTCTTTGCAACAGCTAATATCATCAATCAGAAGAACATTAATCTGCAATTAACTTGGTAAGCGATTAAAAATGCAAAATATTTAATGGTTCCAGCTTCTGAAATGTGTGGATTTATTGTTTTTCTTTGTCATTTTTAGATACATACAGTAGATAAATAGAGTAATTTACCAATCCAGGCAAGAAATTTCACTGTTACAACAACTTAGAGCACTGGTGCCCAACCTGGGGGTCCAGACCTCCACTAAGGGTTGCCTAAAGGCCCTGACACACCAAGCCAACAGTCAGCCATCAGTTGTTGGGCCATTGGTGAGAGTCTCTGTGAGATTTTGATGAGCATTTTTTCGCAATTTTATTTATTTTTTTGAACTAAACATTTAATCAGTAGTAGGACAATGAAAATTATTGCTAGTTGCAGCTCTTGTTCCTCTAAGGCTTATCATTAAAATGAGGGTAGATTAAAGCTCAAAGAGGCTGTAATATTTCTGTCAGGAGTCTGTCTGCAGCATTTTTGATTAAATGTAATCTGGCAGATTAGACAGCTGCTCAGGGAGTTAAAATAGCGAAGATGAAAATAAAAAAACACGGATCACAAATTCCAGGAAATCTTAAATTCAGTGGTGTTTCCTGTCCCCTCTTTTTTCCCTCCTCTCATCTGTTTCTCAGCTATACGTCACTCACATGGACTTTTTCTGTTTACTGCTATTTCCCCCATTGCCCCTCTCCACTTTGACCTGGTTTGCATGCCTGTGCTCATTACTCCTCCTGTCATGAGTTCACACAGGTGTTTACGGGCTGGTTGAATCAGACCTGGACAAGGTGTTCCGGCTTCCCACCACCACCTTCATCGGCGGCAACGAGAGCTCGTTGCCTCTCAGAGAGATTATACGACGCCTGGAGGTAAAATACTTTAAACTGGGTCATTCATGTAAAAATAAAAATCTAGAATCATGATAATAACTATTTATAGCACCTTTCATGCAGAGATGCAGTCCAAAGTGCTTCACAAAACAGGATTACAAGTGTATCCGCCCCCTGATTCAGATACGCTACAAAAATAAATGGGTTCATCTTTGGCCCATGCTACACCCTTCCACCATCATGAAAACCAGGCTGGTAGTTTTTCCATAATCCTGGAGACAAACAAGCAAACCTAACCGAAAAAATAATCCCCTTGGTAGAGGTAACGATAGCAATTGTCTGATAAAGTGGGATTACCCCAAATTAAAAACCAGAATAAAAATGTCTTTAATTTTAAGTTACCGTCTAAGATCAAGATTAGATTAGATTGTACAAGTACTGAGACAATGAAATATGATTTAGTATTTAACCATAAGAACAAAACGCCTTAAAGGGGTCATGCACACCAAAATAAAAATTCACCCATTATCTACTCACCCATATGCCGAGGGAGGCTCAGGTGAAGTTTCAGAGTCCATTTGTACTCAGTGATGAACTCAATAGATTTTGGTGGTCAAATGTTAAGGCCACTGTGACCCTGTCTGTCGCATTCTGGTGAACATGATATCTTAAGAAGACTGTAGGGGATTTTCTTCAAAATTGGCACAAATGTTCACTAGGACTCTGTGATGAACTGATTTGATGTTGGTGGTCTGATATCAAGGTTACTGTAATCTTGCATCTGGCTCATTCTTGTGAAATCTCAAGAGTACCTTGAGGGTATCTCTTCAAATTCTTTTTCTTCAAAAGTCCACTTTGAGTCAAGGATGAACAGATGAGAATTTGGTGGTCAAAGGTCAAGGTTACTGTGAACCTGTCTGTCACATTCTCATGAATGCAGTATCTCAAGAAGGCCTTGAGGGAGTTTCTTCAAATTTGGCACAAACATCCAGCTGGACTCAACAGTGGACTGACTAGATTTGGTGAATTCATGTGTTAATCATGACAAAATTTCATACAAATCTGTAATAGGATAAAATGATGAAGTGATGACCTTTTCAATCCAAAAGGTCAAAGGGCAACTTTACTGTGACATCATAATGTTCTGCAAAAACACTTTGTGGCATTATTTAATGTCATAAGTCAGGAACAGAGGGGGAGACATTTGGTCAGATATTGAATTGGTGATTCCTATCTTGAGTGTTTACTTTAAAACTGTGCTGATTGTACAGATCTTCTGTGCTCCTGGGGGGAAGTTGTTGATGAAGTATCCATGTTTTCACAGACATATATGTCAACTGTAAGTGCAACTTGACTGGTGCGCAGAGGCGTACAACAGCGAAGCAATAAATCTGGTCGGAACATAAAATAAAAAATTATCAAAGGTCAAAGGATTTGAAAATCTGCGACAGATGAAAGTTCTCGAGGAACCAGAGGATCTTAAGAGTTTATGGCCATGAAGAGCTTTTAAAGTAATCAATAATATCTTGCAGCCATTCAAACCCTCTTCTCTGTCTTCCAGATGGCCTACTGTCAACATATCGGAGTAGAGTTCATGTTCATTAACGACGTGGAGCAGTGCCAGTGGATCAGACAGAAGTTTGAGACACCAGGAGTCATGCAGTTCAGTCTGGAGGAGAAGAGGACTCTTCTGGGCAGAATGATCCGATCCACAAGGTCTGTCTTTGTTTCTCCACATTCCTCAACACACCTCAGTCAGTAACTGGAAAAACATGCAAAGCAGCTTGAGGTGTTTCTGTGAGTTTGAGGAGGGGGATGTATTGTTCTGAGCCACAATATGAAGCAGCAGCACCACCACCTGTTCACAGGTTTGAGGAGTTCCTCCAGAGGAAGTGGTCTTCGGAGAAACGATTCGGTCTGGAGGGTTGTGAATCCCTCATCCCAGCTCTCAAAACCATCATCGACAAGTCCAGTCAGAGCGGAGTGGAGAGCGTGATCATGGGGATGCCCCACAGGTAAACAGTGGCATTATATCTCTTACAATAAGATGTCAAACTGGCGTTGTTGTCTAAAGCTTGGCAGACTATGCGTGTTTAAATATTTTTGTACGTGTGTTAGCTGACGCTACTTCTCATGCTGCTCACTCTCTCTGACTCACTCTTGCCCTGGGGCTGTTAAATACCAGATCTCAGTACTTGTCCCTAGCTGGGTCAATTGGAGGTTGCATCTGAGCCAGTTGTGGCCAGCGGGCTGCCAGTTGTGTAGGCCTGGTCTGTAGCTTTGTGTCCCTTCCTGATTTGTCTTTCTCCATCTCCAGGGGGAGGCTGAACGTGCTGGCTAATGTGATCCGAAAGGACCTGGACCAAATCTTCTGCCAGTTCGACTCTAAACTAGAAGCAGCCGATGAGGTGTGAACACCAACTGCTGAGACCAGAGCAAACTTTGATTAGTTTCATTAGTGATCAGTGGTTGTAAAGCTGCAAATACTAATTATTTTACTGCCAATTAATCTGTTGATTTGTGTTTGGATTGATTGATTATTTGTTTAAGACTATAACATATCACAGTTTCCTTCTTGTCATTTTGGGAGGTACACTTACCATATTGGTCTCATCTAACTCTTGGCAAGTAAGCGAATAAGTGTATTTTCCAAAATGTCAAGCTGGTCTCTTAAATTGCTTGTTTTGACCGAGCAACAAGCCAAAACCCAAACCTTTTTATAAACTACTGAATTAGGTCTAGTTGTAGCTGTGTCACGGAACATCATTGCCAAACAGTTTGTTTAAATATGCTGGCTTTAACTCTTGATTTTTTGCTCTCAGGGTTCTGGTGATGTGAAATATCACTTGGGGATGTATCACAAGAGGATGAACCGGGTCAGCGACCGGGAAATCACAATGTCACTTATGGCGAATCCATCCCACCTGGAAGCGGTGGACCCAGTGGTGCAGGGAAAAACCAAAGCTGAGCAATTCTACTGTGGAGACACAGAGGGCAAGAGGGTACACTGAGCTTCATATAAACATATCGAAATGAAACAAAAACACATTTGCTTGTGTTTGCAGCATGTTTGTAACCTGATGGATGATTTCACAGGTGATGTCTATTCTGCTTCACGGTGATGCTGCATTTGCAGGCCAGGGTATCGTGTACGAGACGTTCCACCTGTCTGACCTGCCGTCCTACACCACACACGGCACGATACACGTGGTGGTCAACAACCAGGTAGGCTCTGATTACGGGCTAGCATGTTATTGTATCCACATGTCTGTCTGATTTTGAAGTGGTATTAGTCCAAAGAGTTCGCCTAGATTAAAAAATAAAACCAGTTTAGCTACATTAAATGTTGTTTTCTCAAGGTGCTGACAACTTTTGAATACACAGCCTGAAATGACATTGAAAGACAGTAGATCTTGCTGGTTTGAGATTGAGCCTCACTGGTTAGAATGAGCACAGTATGATAACAGCTGTATGTAGTAATTAACTCTCTCATCCACACAGATCGGTTTCACCACAGATCCCAGGATGGCACGTTCATCTCCTTATCCCACAGATGTCGCACGAGTGGTCAACGCTCCCATCTTCCACGTCAATGCAGACGACCCAGAGGCTGTGATGTATGTGTGTAAAGTAGCAGCCGAGTGGAGGAACACCTTCCATAAAGACGTAGTCGTGGACTTGGTAAGTTTATAGGAGGTGTTGTTTATGGCTCTTTCATTATATGCAGGGGGTTTCCTCTGCTGAAATGATGGTTAGGGGATTTTTGAGGAGGATCCAAGGCAGAATGAAGTCATAGCATATCAAGACATTTTAATTACCTACTGGCATTTATTGCATGAGCTACAGCTTCTTATACATTAAAGAGAGGCCTGACAGGTCTAGGAAGTTAAACAACTGGCTGTGAAGAAAGTTTGTCAGTACAGTAGGAGTGCCAATGCAAATCACCCTCCCAGAGGCAAATAGTGTTTTGAATCTGAATTTGATTTAGATATGTCACCTGCATGCTCAAACCCGTCTGTTAGGTTCAGAGAGACAGGGAAGGTTTATGGCAGAGAAAGTAAACAAGTTATAAATAAAAAGCAGTAAAGACCTGCCTTTTTAACAGCTTAAAATATCACTGTAAGACAGGGCTAATGTGGGAAACCCAGTCTGACTCAATGGATGTACAGCCCCATTTGGCTACTCTTATTATCTGCGTTTTAGGGACTTTGTACAACATGTTGTACGAGCACATTGAAAGGCAAAAGTGTTTATATCTGATCCCACTGGACACATTCAAAGGCAAGGTGAAAAGCAGGTCAACATGCAGAGAGGAGGACGCAATATTGTTTAAATACAGGGAAATAATGGCACACATTTTCAGAGAGGCATTCATATTGTCGCACTTGTTCACATGAAAAGTGACAGAAATTAATAGCTGTGTCAGGAATAAGATGAGAGAGAAGTTCAAGCCCTGGGTCCTTTCTAATCTCAACACATCTGGACCATCACAGTGTGAGGTGGGTGTAAATGTCGGATTGTTGGTGTCAGGAAGTTAAAGAAATTGTTGGACACAACACCCCCATATCTGACTTCAGTAAATCGGGGGAATGTGTTTGGTGTTAGGGGCCGTTTACATGCCGCGTTTTTTGTGCCATCAAATTAGATGTCAAGGTAGACATGCTAAAAGTGCGCCCAAAAGTGAGAACATCACCATCATGGGGTGCAAGCGTTCCCAAGCGCCTTTTTATAGGGGCGTGACAGCTGTGCCCAAAAACACTAGTTCCCAACCTAGGGGTCCATTAGGGGGTCACCAAAGCTTCACAGGGGGTGGCACCTCGAAGCTGATCAGCTCTGAACTCAGGATTTTGGGCAAGTAGGCTATGCTATGGTGCTGGTTATGGTCGCTTAACAATGTCATGTGCACCCTGTCACCGTGTCATTAAAAGCTGGTACAGAGTGGGCACAACAGTAGCACCCAGTGCCCAACCTTGCATTTTCCAGGTGGTAAAAGACCGGGCATATGTCCATACATCATCTGAAGGGCAGCTCTGATGGAGTATAATGGCCTATTCCTTTGTGCTCTTCCTTCCAGTATCTGTGTTATTGGGCTCAACAGGCTAAAAGTGGAGTTAACAGACAGACAAGAGATTTGACAAGAGACAAATTTGAGAGTATGGAAACCTTGAACTTGTGATAATTTGCCAAGTGCAGATCAAAACTGAAACTCAGAGTGACACACTTAGTTTTGCATGATAATCAATCAAAATGGACACTTGGTTGTTTGAACAAGAGAAATGTGTCATAAGAAAAGCATGTCTAAACCTTTGCTTCCTCACATTCAGGTCTGTTACAGACGTAACGGCCACAATGAGATGGACGAGCCGATGTTCACCCAGCCGCTGATGTACAAGCAGATCAAGAAGCAGAAAGGCGTCCTGCAGAAGTTTGCTGAGAAAGTCATCGCTGAGGGAGTCATCACGGCACAGGCGTATGAGGTAAAGCAACCTGCACTGCTGCAGATACTGCTTATCAGACATGCAAACATGTACAAGGCTTTGGAGCAGACAAGGTGGTTGTCCTCTGCTGTCGTGGTCGTGCACAGTGTGAGACTTTTTAACAGTTAAATTCTCAAAACAGCCTCTGTGTCACATTTACCTTGGGACTATTCTAAATCTCAAGGGGCTGTTTCTACATAGCTGCAGCACTCTATACTGAAAGAATAGGGCTTTATTGAAATTGCAAGATGATGTTTCATTGTCAGCGAGAGGAGACATAATGGAGCATCTCTGCAGTCTGAATGAAATAGTAATAGAATAGTCTGACACAAACAAAAGTGTTTTTGAGAGAGTGAGGTGGAAAGGGCAAAAACTGCTAATTTTTCAGTCTGTTCAGTTCTTCGGGCTCTTTTGTGCTATCAGCAGGAACAAGACAATAACTGATGACTTACAGGCACAAAAATGTAGTCCGTACATTTCTTCACATCTATTTGTAATTTGTGTGAAGTGCTACACACTTAAAAGAAAAGTGAATTAATTACTGTACGCTGAAGACATTTCAAAGCGATTAACCCTGCTTACACCTGGTATTAAAAGTATAATATGCAACTTTTTTGCTTTAAAATGTCTTAAAATGACCAGACCAAGACTTACATGATCCCAAATATTTCCAACAAAGTTCAAACCCAGAGAAATCTGTCGTTTTAGTCAAGGATCATATGGTCACTGTCGCCTGTCAGTGGCTTCATATCCTCTTTCCGCATGTGTCAGTGTTGTAGTTGTTTGCAGGAAGCTGTTATAAATTGACTTTATGTCGAGTTTTAAGCCAAAATTTTACATTACAGTTTTTAGAGCTTAGTCATTTATAACTGTGTTTTACCCGAATGAAGGATTTTTGTCAGCAGACGTCTAGATCTGTGGTGTATGTGTTTATTTGTGAGAAGTGGGGAAGTGAGATCTGATCACAAGTGGTCACTTGAGACGTATGAGGACACGATTGTAATGCCAGGTATCAACAGACAGGGTTAGAGCTTTCTATTTGAAATCAGACCACCCAAGATGAATGTTCATACCAGATGTAAACAGGGCCTGTTGGAGAAATGACTGAGGTTCCACGTAGTAAGCAAACACCTGAAATGTGGCCACAACTCAAAGGCTGTCACACCCTTTCACTGTCAGGAGGTGAATATGTTCTGCAACCTACACAGGCTTGTGACTAAGCAATGAGCTACTGTACATAAGACAGATACTCGCATAAGTTTTCCATCTCTTTCAGGAGGAAATAGCGAGGTACGACAAAATCTGTGAAGACGCTTACGCTCGTTCCAAAGATGAGAAGATCCTTCACATCAAACACTGGCTGGACTCACCGTGGCCTGGTGAGGATTCTTATATTTTTATTAATTCTTATTGTATATTCATCACAGTTTGTGTTTTTTGCGTGCATTGAACTGTGAAATCTTTGTGTTGGTATGTCTGTAGAGTTTTTCACACTGGAGGGACAGCCCAAAACTATGAACTGCCCTGCCACTGGCATCACTGAAGAAGAGCTCGTCCATATTGGAAACATTGCTTCCTCTGTGCCAGAGGAAGACTTCACAATACATGGAGGTACTGTCTGCTCTCCTCATCCTGTTTCAATGTCTGACAGTGTTGCCAGTCTCTTTTTAAATCTTTGTTTTGACGCTGTTTCAGGTTTGAGTCGCATCCTAAAGGGCCGCGCTAACATGGTGAACCAGCGAGTGTGTGACTGGGCTCTTGGGGAGTATATGGCCCTTGGCTCTCTGCTCAAAGAGGGGATCCACGTACGCCTCAGTGGACAGGATGTGGAGAGGGGCACGTTCAGGTACAGGTTCTGTTTCTCTCTGTGTGTTTTGGAGGTGTGTCCAGAGGTTTGTGCAGATGTGATTTCTTCCTCATGAGGATCTTTATGGCTTCAGAGAAACCCCCCTATCTACTGTACGTTCAGTTTTAAAGCATGATTTACACCAGTCGATTACAGAAAGACAAGGGTGAAAAATACTGGATGAAATAGGGCCGTCACTGTCAGGAAACAGACAAGGATTAATGCTGTTTTTGTTTTTACAATTTTTGCTCAACTTATCCTTTTTGTTTCTGCCTCACAGCCATCGACACCATGTTCTTCACGACCAGAACGTTGATAAGAGGATCTGCATCCCAATGAACTACATCTCCCCTGATCAAGCTCCTTACACTGTCTGCAACAGCTCTCTGTCTGAGTATGGAGTGCTGGGTGAGTAACATCGGCCTCTTTCACACAGGCTATGCCAACCTAAAAATGTCTAGGCATTACCCGAGGGAGCTGTATGAGAGAACACTTAGTTAAGTTGGATCAGACATTAAACGGACTTTACCTTGCCCGCTCTCCAGCACAAAATCAGTGTTATGTCCAATTGAGCCTATATGTGGATAGAGCAGGTAACTGTCCAGAGAATTCTCAGCAAGTGAGTGAGTGTGTTGATGATGTTTCTGTCATGCGATTTGCATGAAAGCAGAAGAAAATAAACATCTGAAGGTGAAGAAAAACAGTAATTTCAATCAGGAGAGACTCATTTTTTATAGTAAAAGAATATTTATTAAGGTGCACATAAGAATGAAAAATGAAGAAAGTCTTTGGCCATTAGACCCCGTAGAGATGGCATGATTTAAGGAGGGTGATGAATCCATAGTCGAATAGGGAACTGGGTCTAGACAATGATGGTGGTAGAGGTGGTGAACTTGAGATGAGAGGAACGTGGAGAAGGTGAAATGATCTGGATGAGTCGAGGAATGAGCCTTTGCTGAGCTTGTCCTGGACTCTTGATACAAGGTGGAGGAGGGCGAGACAATTCTGCCTAAAATGATGGCTGACAGCAGCAGAGGAGAGGGCAGGTTTAAACTTTTGCAGCAGCATCCTGATTGGCTGATAGAGATCGTGGTGATTTTTTTTTTTTTTTTTGAAGATATTTTTTGGGGCATGTTAGCCTTTAATTGATAGGACAGACAAGTGTGAAAGGGGGAGAGAGAGAGAGGGAGTGACATGCAGCAAAGGGCCACAGGCTGGAGTTGAACCTGGGCCGCTGCGGCAACAGCCTTGTACATGGGGCGCCTGCTCTATCCACTAAGATTGTGGCGAAGTTTGATTGGATAACTAGAAAAGCAGCGGGAGTTGGATGGAGAGAATTGTGAATAGGGATGCACTGAATATTCGGGAACCGAATATATTCGGCCGAATATTGCAAAAAAACACACATTCGGTATTCGGTGGAATAAGTTAAAAGCAAGGCCGAATAATAGCGGCTTGTTTTGATAACGCAATCAAACAGCGTGCCGTGACGGGCGGAGTAAAATGTCGGCAGTGTGGCGATCCGTCCGTCACCACACTCGCATTTGCGACTAAAAATAGTTTTGAGCGAGCAAAATAGGCTTAAATCATTCAGCACGCTGTGCGAGCAGCCTACAGATTTCAACCAGCAGCAGAAACGAAAGGCGAATCCCATCGGTTGTGGGTTGAACGGGGGTCACAGACATAGACAGTAATGTATTCCTGTCAAATACGGCGGCCATCGGCTTACCGGCTACGGATCAGTCGGCTCCAATAATATCCTCTTCTTGGCGTCATGACTGCCCAGAAGTACCTGAACAGCCGAGCCAGCTGAACACAAGTATGTGACATGTCAGAGGAGAAACGAGCCATTCACGGTCCACAAACCTCACCGCACTTTAGGGATTGTTCTTTACTTATGAAGGGACTGTTCTTTACTTGTCAGGGGAGGAGGGTGGCTGGTTGATTCTTATTTTATTTATTTATTTATTTTTGATCCCTCCTATGTTAATCACTTATTGATGCTGTTTTTGAAGTATGAATAAGTCAGTAAGTAATTTATTCCATTGAAATATCATTGATGTATTATAGAAAAGTGATTTATCTTTTTATAAATGACAAAAGGCACATCTGCCTCATTTTCGCTGTGGTATCGTGATACTACTCAGAATCATGATATTTTCATTGGTATCGTACAGTGGGATCCAATTTTGGTACCGTGACAACACTAATCTGGAGGGGGTTCATCTGCAAAAACTAATGAAAAACTAAACAACGATATTCGGTATTCGGTACTCGGTATTCGGCCAAGCGTTTAATGTTATTCGGCTTCAGCTTCGGCCACAAATTTTCATTCTGGTGCATCCCTAATTGTGAATGGATGAGCACAAAGAAAGTCTTCCTGATTGAAATTACAGTAGGCTGAGCTTCATTTATACAAAGACATCAATGAAAATATGAGATGACGAGATTTGGGAACTTCTCTCTGTAAGGGCCGAAGTCAAAATGGTCAGACAAATTCAAGGAATAGCAAGAGACTTATGCCTTACCAAATTAAGAACCGGCTATGTCACCATAGTGTTATCCGCGTCATGTCCTGCCTCCTGCACTCTACAAGGTGCCACCCCTCACCTAAACCAAACAGAGTATTTTCAGTAAGTGAAAATGCTTCTGACACAATCTCCTGTTGTGCACTACATGCTACATGCTACATGCTATACAGTAAACAGAATCCCTGTGCAAAGATCCCCCAGAAGAAATTGTCAGTAGTTTTAAATATCTTGTAGCTGTGATTGATGGTTACTTCAACTCCACAATCCTCATTATAAAGATAGTATTACAGTATCTACAGGTGTTGCCACAACCAAGACTGATATCTTGTTATCTTTGAGTTTGTCACTTCCAGACTCATTGAAGATTGATTTGCTCATCAGTGAACCTGCTCTTTTTTCTGTGCAGGTTTTGAATTAGGCTTCGCCATGGCCAGTCCCAACGCGCTGGTGCTGTGGGAGGCCCAGTTCGGAGACTTCCACAACACGGCTCAGTGTATCATCGACCAGTTCATCAGCTCGGGTCAGGCCAAGTGGGTCAGACAGAACGGCATCGTGCTGCTGCTTCCTCACGGCATGGAAGGAATGGTAGGAGCTGAGAAACTTGTTGTGCCACATTCTGCTTTTAGCTGTGTCTCAGGCTGGATTATTTCTGTCTCATGATGCTGCAATGTCACCTTGTGATTAGGGCTGATCTACATTTTCACTGGAGCTGTGTTAAAAATATATAACGTGTCAACTCCTGATTGGGTTTCCATGTTATATCTTTCTCTCAGGGTCCAGAGCACTCGTCTGCCCGGCCTGAAAGGTTTCTACAAATGTGCAATGATGACCGCGATGTTTTTCCTGTGAGTTTGTTTCAGAAACATCACATTTTATGCACCTGTCACTCCTTATAACTTCCGATTTTGCTCATATTCATCAGATTGAGACTCAATCCAGAACTCTAAAACTCTAATTGAATCTATACCAACGTGACCCCTCCTGTTTACATACTGCACTACGACAACAGAAACTGTAGCTCCAAAATTTACAGCATGCTTATCTCCCAAACAGAAGAGATCCTGTTCTGGGTATTCTTACTTGCCTCTGATTTTTATCCCTACTTATTTTTTATTTTTTAGGAACTGTCAGAGGACTTTGCAGTGCGTCAGCTGAATGACTGTAACTGGATCGTTGTCAACTGCTCCACTCCTGCAAACTACTTCCAAGTCCTCCGCAGACAGATCCTGCAGCCCTTCAGGAAGCCTGTAAGTGGCACACCGTGAAACATGACTCAAAGCACAACATAATGTGGTTCAATGTCACTGAGCATGTTCTGTGCTCTCTTTTTATCTCCTCAGCTGATAGTGTTTACTCCCAAGTCTCTGCTGCGCCACCCTGAGGCCAAGTCCAGCTTTGATGACATGCTGCCAGGTGAGTACTGACAGAAAGAAGTACAGGATGTAAACTTCCACTCCTCTGATCTATATTGTAGTCTCTCTTTGTGTTACTGAGAGTCTGTGCCTGTGTTGTCCTGCAGCCACACACTTCAAGCGTATCATCCCAGACAACGGGCCTGCAGCTGCCAGCCCAGAAAAAGTCAAGAGAGTCATTTTCTGCACGGGAAAGATCTACTATGAACTGGCCCGAGAGCGCCAAAACAGAGGCATGGATGATGCTGTCGCTATTGTTCGCATCGAACAGGTAATGTCAGAGTGGAGGAGCTGTTGAGAGTAAAACTGCAGTGGAGACAAGAACTGGATGCACAGCAGGTGTAGGGAGGTTTTTTTGCAACCAAATAAAACAGTTTAATCTGCTTTCTATGGCATCTACTTTTGTTGCCTGGAGTTTGATGTTTTCCTGGAGGGTAATGTTGGCTGGTTGGTTTGCTGTCGCACACTTTGGTCCAGGTCATGTCTCAAATATGAGCCAAATTAGCACTGAAATTTGGTGGAGGTATTTCATCCCCAGGGGATGATTCATAAAGATTTTGGGCACCCTTTGACGTTTCTGATAATGCCATTATCAAGTCAAATTTTCTCTGCTCCTGACACTTTGATTAGAAACAAATGGTCAGATACCCATGGTATTTTCTGTTGCTGAAACTATAATATTGTGTTAGAGCAAGCAAAGCAAGCAAATTAGAAAACGGCTCACTGTTGCTCAAAAAAAAAGATTGGAAGTACTCAAAGTTTCGTAAAAATGGAGCAAGAGTGAGTGTTTTTTCAAGCAAGCAACATGATGAGGTAGATATCTTCTTCAGGAAGGACTGGAACAATCTCATGTTTTCTCGTTAGCATCCAGTTAGGACGAGGTGTTTCACAACTGGCGAATATTCACCCTTAACTACCCCTAACCTTAGCTAACATTTGTGTAACTAACTGGGGAAGGCAGCTAACGGCTAATTTGGTTCGTAGTGAAGTACAACAGATAGCTGAAATCAAGTGATGTGAACACAGAGGCTCTGGGCTCTGAACTAGCGTGAACAAAGACAGCAAAACTCTTACTTACTTTTCATACCGTCCACAGCAGCACAAAACCACTTCACTCCTTCTGTTGTTTATTTTCAACAATGACAGACCTACTTAAATGACACAAGTCACAAATACATATTTTCAGAAGTTAGTACGTGGTCCTAAATCCTCCCCTTGTTTGTTCTGTCTCTGTACAGCACTGAGAGAGTCTGCTGCCCACAGACAGCAATGATTTGCTCTCCATTTCTGACTCTCTGATGATTATGATAATAACAATAAAAATAACAGTAACATTTATTTATACAGCACCTTTCAAAACACAGTTTTAACAATTTTAAAAAAGTAGGTTTTCAGAATTGATTTAAAACCTGAGACTGAGTTTGCAACCCTGATCTCCTCAGGCAGGTCATACCAAAGTCGTGGAGCTCCGACTGCAAAGGCTTTGTCACCCTTGTGTATTAATCTAGACCTCGAAACAATAAAAAACGATGCATCTGAGGATCTCAGGGTGCAAGAAGGAACATAGGGCAATAAAAGAAATATTGTAACTTGGAGCCAGGCCTCTCAGGGTTTTGTAAGTAATCAATACAATCTTAAAATCAATTTTACAAGCAACAGGGGACCAGTGTAGGGACGCCAGATCATGTTTTCTAGTCTGACAGCAGAGTTTTGGATGAGCTGGAGGTGCGAATGTCAGGAGAATCTTAACCCGATTTCAACGCTAATAGACTTATTCGACAAGGTGCCTGATAAAATTCCCAGAGCAAGTTGAAATTTTTGTTTGTAACTGTCCATTATTCACGTCACCTGGCACAAAATCACATCTTGCATAATCTTCGCTTTTGGTGTGAAAACCCTATTACAGGGAATTCCTAACTTGGATGAATTGCAGACAAGAGAGCAAGCAAACATCAGATTGCTTCAGTTTATGAAGATGTCCTAGCCTGCTCCATGTGTCAGGTAATGGGCTAAATGATGTGTTGATTGTTTGCAAAAAATGTTCACCTGGTTCAGCCTATTATCAGGGCAATAGCAGGCCATTGTCCAGGCTCAGTCAGAGTTTAACAGGCTCCCTAAATGTTGTTATTGCTGATAGTATATCTGGACAATTTTTGTGCTCCATCCACCAGAGTTTGCTTGCTCGCTGTATGTTAGGAAAAGGTGCAAGGGAGGGAGAGGTGTGAGGCACGTGCTCAGTCATAACTCAGTCAAATCAGAACACACAGACATGAAAGACATGTTTTAAACATCCATAAATCTGCTTAGAAATCAGAAGATAGGCGCTCCTTACAACTGCAGAACCTGCCTGAAAATGAAAATGTTTTTACGTCTTCTTCAGTATCAAAGTAATCCAGTGATAGTTGTCTGTACGTCCTGTACATCTGGACGCTGCATACAGGAACTGCTTCTGTCTAATTCAGCATACTTCTAATGTAGACAATTTGCCAAACATAAAAAATACAGGCTTAAAAACAGCTAACGCTAACTGATGTGTGTCTCAACTGTAAACATGATTATGCCATACATTCTAAGTACTCTTAACATCAGATTTTTCCTCTCCTTTCAGCTCTCACCCTTCCCGTTTGACCTGGTGAAAGCAGAGACTGATCGTTATCCAAATGCTGATCTGATGTGGTGTCAGGAGGAGCACAAGAACCAGGGCTACTACGACTACGTCAAGCCCCGCATCCGCACCACCATTAAACGCACCCAGCCCGTCTGGTGAGTTCACCTTACCAGATATCAGTAAGTATCTCTGCTGTGAACGTACGCACGCTCACGTGTGTGTGTGTGTGTTTGCAGGTACGCTGGTCGTGACCCTGCAGCAGCTCCAGCTACTGGGAACAAGCAGACTCACCTCATGGAGCTGCAGCGTTTACTGGACACAGCGTTCGACCTGGAAGCTTTCTCAGGAAAAGTGTAACAGCTGGTTTACACCTCCCTCCCTCCCTCCCTCCCTCCCTCCACGCTCCCACACATCTGATTCACGCTGCCGTCAAGCTTCAGGTCTTCAGCGCAGGTTTCCCCCCATGAGACTGGCTTTGCATTGATGTGTGTTCTTCCTCAGTATATTTACATATCAGACCTGACATCAGGTGGAATCTCTAAACTAAACGCACAATGACTTCTAACACTGTTACCATGACGACCTCGTGTTCACAGTGATGGACACCACCACAGAATGTAATGCAGGTTAAAACAACAGCATTGAATGTATGAATTTATACAACATTAATTTGTAAGACAAAGAGTTTTATCTTCTTTTTTCATTTGCTCTTATTTTTGCAAAATCATGTCAACCTGCTCCGCAAATCCAGAATCAACCATCACACTGTGTGCAATCACCTGCCAGACAAATATGTGAATCATTTATTGATCTGTGACAGATTATTTAAAATAATAAAGAGTTAGGTCGGGCAGCCAGAGGAAATGTAGAAAGCAATGACAGACATTTTTTACAGGATAGATTGACATTTTGGGAAATAAGTTTATTCACCTTCTTGGAGAGCGTTAGAGGAGACTGGTACTCGTCTCTTACCAGTCAGTTAGCTTAGCTTAGCATAAAGACTGGAAGTCCAAAAGTGACACAATCTGTTTAAGAGCACCTCTAACACTCACTAATTCACACGTAATATCTTATTTGTTTATCCATACAAGAATCAATTTGTTGAAATGACAATTCATGTTTTTAAACGGGTTTATTTGCTGCACTTTTTCTTGGCTGGGCGCTTTGACTTTTGTTAAAAAAAAAAAAAGGCATTAAATTTATTATAGTAAATTAAAAATAAGGCCCCAATTGGTACGAAAATGTCTAAAATCCATATTTAAAAATCTTAACCCTCATGATCCTGTTTAAAATAAAAATTAAAAAAAACTAGAAGCTATAAACTATTTGCAATGGAAGGCTAGGATTTCCGTCTTTTGTGCCATCACATTGTCTGTGTGAGATGACGACATTACATTATGCTACAAGCGGTCCAAAAGACAGTGAAAATATGCAGTTACGTCAGAGTGTTGTGCGTCATGGCTGTGGGAGATTGTCATTTGCATGATCCTGTTTAAAATTGATCTAAAATAAAAACCGTAATAGCCAGAGCATTCTTTTTGCAGCAGTAGCAGCAGCAAGTTGCACATTGTGTTCTACCTTAAGCCCTTTTTAAACAGGAATTGTGCAAATTTGCAGGAAAGCCCAATCAGTCTTTTTTCAGCATTGGCAGTATAAAAACAAAAAATCAGGGAGTGCAGCAAAATGCCGCCTACCTACTTTTGTTTATACAGAATGCACCTTTTTCGGGGCAATGGGGGGCGTGAGCAAGTAACAACACGTGTAGCTCAGCATGTGACGTAAACAGTGACGTGGGAGGGAAGCTGCAGCTGGTCAGTCCTTCGGTGATTCTCTTGTAAGTCGGCCCGTTCTTCACCGTCCCCGTCATCTGACGGTTAATGGCCTCTTCGTATGCGAGGACAAGGAGGGCGCACAATTCCTTGTCTCCCCAGTTGCTCATCTTTACAGTGTCTGTCAGGTTTGTGTTTCCCTCTTGCTACTAGCTGCTCGCTAATTCCTGCTATCAGCTGTTTACTGTTTATCCACTGCCAGTGGGTCGCACGTGCGGCGTCATCAACAGCACCTCCCACAAGTCATCAACAGCCCCTCCGATGGCGGAAGGCGGCCTCGTTCTTTTTAAACTGAAAAGGTTCCGCCAATATAGGCCCGTTTCCACTGAAGAAGTTCCTGGTACTATTTGGGGGGCAGAAACTTGACAGGAACGTCCTCTCGCTCGGCCCTCTCAACCGCCGTGTCTCCACTGAGAGGGCGGAGTAGGAGGAAGGTTCCTGTAAAGTTACCGGGCTCTGGATGTGACGTAATCGTTGCGCGACCATTTTGACCGGGGCGACACGGCAAAGAAACAACGGTTTGTCTTCCATTTCTTGCTTTTCTTCTTACGACTCCTTTTAAAAATGCGACTCCTCGTCTGATGAGTTTTAAAAACGCCGGCTATTTTGTCGCTTTCTTTTGACGTCACATCCCGCCTTGAGTATATCCAATCAGCACCAAGTTAACCCCAAGCCCCACCCAGGAGTTTTTCGGGGCCGTTGTGAGTACCTACTCTGAGGCAGGGACTTGTTTAGCCCCTGTAAAAGTTCCAGAACTCTGTCCTTCGGGGGTGGTTCCTGCGGTGGAGACACGCACACGCTGTATCCAGTCTTTATGCTAAGCTAGGCTAACCAGCTTCATATTTAGCGTACAGACATGACAGTGGTTTCAACTGTCTCATCTAACTCTCAGCAAGAAAGTGAATCAGTGTATGTCCCCAAAATGTCAAACTATTTCCTTTAACCAGGGATGCACAATACTGGATGCGCTTTTTTCTCTCCTAATTCCACTGAACATCAAGTCTCTCCTGTCGTGGAGTTAACACATTATTATCCCTACTCGTATTGTGACTGCCCACTGACAGACTCATAAAACACACTACTTTTAAAACAAACACATTCGCTGGGCAAAATAAGAAAACTGCTTCAACTCAGGTTACATGTTCAACATGCAGTATTTATATTTATGGAACATTTTCAAACTAAACTGCACAATTCTACGCTCTCTCTGAGATACACTAAAGACAAATAATTAAAGCGTCATCTGATCAGCCTGTCACAGTGGCAGGAATTCATTTTAAAGCCTTTGTCTACTGACACAGATGATGTGCCAGTATTGTCGGGCATTCCTACTTTAAACTGGATTTGAACATCTGGCAGTGTTTCACAGCTAAAATGTGATAGTGACCACATGAGCATCATAACCTGGGACTGGTGATAATTTGAAATGTTTAGGCCAAGTAACGATTGCTGAACAGTAGTACGGCTATTTTAATTAGCTTTTATAATGTTTGAGTCAGCACCCACATGATAACTGTGACAAAATGAAACATTAATGTCTACCTTTAGTTAAAAATCTTGTTTCAGTCTGTAAAGAAACAGGTGAAGGGGCTCCGCATCTTTCTGCACTTTTATCTGAGTTCAGCTGTGACTTTAAATGACTGTGAGGGGAGGCTTCATACATCATTTACCACAAACACACCTCTTCTTTTACAGTTCATTTCTTTCTCATATACTCAGCTTTCTTTTCTCTATTTATTATTTCCTCCTTGGTTGACTCACCGTCCGGCCTCGGCCTCGTCACTGTATGTTTACGTCTTTGTTTGTGCCAAATCTAACAGATGACTTGAAATTATATTTCAGTACAGAAATCATGCCAATGCAAAGAGAGAGACTTGTGTAACGACATGATGAGATTCCTCAGCTCCTCAGATTTGAAGGATGTATTTATTTTCATAAAGTGTTTTATGTTTTGTTGTTTTCGATAAATAAAGATTATAGTTCCTGGTGAACGCGGCTGTCGTTGTCTGTTGAAGGCACTGAAACATGTTGTATATCCTGTCTGTCACACTGTGCTGTACTCAGGGTTCACACACGTTCTCAGGCACAAAGTTTTAGACTTTTCAAGGACCCATAATTTGAAAAAAGTCTTGCCCCACATGCCTGGCGTTTTTGAACATATCAGATTCAAACTGGTCGTCACACACTGACACATATCAGAGCTACGATATGTCGACAGTTTCAGAAAATAAATGTGCTGTTTTACCGTAACAATTTCATTACACACAACAAAATTCCAAGATTTTTCCCAAACTTTCAATGATTTTTACTGATTTCATGCCTTTTCCAGGCCTGGAAAATGTGACTGTGAAATTCCATGGCCTTTCCAGGTTTTCCATGTCCGTAGTAACCCTGTGTACTTTACAATTTTGAGGTACTTTCCATTTCCTGCTCCTTTGTACTTCTACTCCACTACGTCTCAGAGGGAAATATTGTATTTTTTCTACTGCATATAACTAACAAATTATTATATTAGTTGATTATATGCAGTAAAAAAAATACAATATTTCCCTCTGAGACGTAGTGGAGTAGAAGTGATCCAATAATACATCAAATTCCTAAAGGAATAAATGATTTATTTTAAATTCATGCCCAGTTTTTAGGGATATTGTACTTGCATTTTATTTGACTGAACATATTTTGGATGATGCTTTTGTTTAGACATTGCTGACATTGGTCTTTGTGAAGTATTTTAATGCTTTATAATCACTCTAAAATACACAGAATCCAAATTACAATATACATTACTCTGAAATGGGCCATTCTGCATGAGCACTTCTTACATTTATTTTTTTTTTTTTTCACGTTACTTATTTGTTTCCACATTGCAGAAAACATGTATACAAAAATACAGGAATTTTTTTTTTCTTTGTTTTCACCCCCTGGGAGCAACCAGTCAGATAAAATCCAGTATAAAATAATAATGTGCCCCCATTACAAAAAAGAAAGGAAACAACAGTAATCGACAAAGTGTGTGTTTGTGCACACTATTATACACTATTATAGCTGTCCTCAGGTCCTCGTAAAGCAAACCTTACCTTTTCTAGGTTCAAAAATTGTAATGTATCTCTGACCCAGTGTTTAAAAGAGGGGAGGGGGTCATCTGCATATTTTAAGTATATTTCAATGCAAATAGTTTAGCAATTTACTTAATAAAAAAATGTATATACTATTTCTATACTGGTGTGTTTCTACTTCTGTGCCATTCGGCCACTCTCTAGCTGTCCACCAGAGGCCTTCTGACTTCTCCATTTGTCCCAGTTACCTGTCATCAGTGATGGGCGGACCGATTATTTTTGAAGTATTGGTTCTTTTGAGTTGATATATGTACGTGTATCAAACCTTTGCAAACCTCTGTCTCCATGACACTGTTATAGTACATCATGTTTGACAGCCAGTGCTGCTGCCCCATAGAACATCTCTTCAGTGCATTACCAGTCATCATGTATACGTTTATATTGATTAAGGTAAAATATTTAATTCAATTCATTGACTCAGCAACACACTTGTACATGCAGGTCTCCAGGGTGTCTACAAGTATCAGGCAGTTAGATTTAATGCTTTTGAAGACCCGTTAAAGACGCCTTTAAACCAAATTTAGGACCGATTTTTGGACAAATCATGTTTTACTTACTGAAGAAAGCACTGCAGGCAGGTAGCACATATGGGGTCTTGTGCAGAGGTAAGTGTTACGTAGGAATACGGTTATTACAGTGAGTTAAATTAGTCTACATTTTGTTTACAGGTAAGTGCAGGTATGAAGTAAAATGACTATTAGAGAAATTAAAAAATGGATAAATGAGATTAGATAAAATATTTGTAGCAGTTACGACCTCACAAATTCAAATTTAAGACTACTTAATGACTTTAAGGCCTTATTGTTGTAACATTGAATTTCAGACATTATAACACTTTTAAGGAGCTGTAGACACCCTGGTGTTAGTAGGCTATGTGAGCTCAATATGATGTTACACTAATGAAATTTGACTGCACTAATTTGTCACTCTTCCTGGGCATGCAGCAGACGTGCCACTTTGAGAGACCAGTTCATCAGTGTCGTTCAGTGAGCTGCCAGGCTGTTTGGACTCCAATCTGATTCAGTTGCTTCTTGTTTCATCACTGTAGCAGGCGGCGTGAGCAGCACCCTACGATAAAAGCGAGTAGGTGAAAGGTTGGGGATTCATGAACACTCAGATGTTTGACACACCACACACTACAGAATCATCCATCACCACCTGGCATTCCACATCCAGCCACTCCCTCCTGCCCCGCCCACACACTCACCTGCCTCCCATTTCCCCTCATCAGCTCTGCAGCACATACACCAACACCTTCTCCCTCATCAGCTGCCGGATTTTCTTTGTTGCTTTCCAGTGTCCGATACCTGGAACCTGTACCTGCCTCGTTCATGTTCACCTGTGACCTGTTAAGTCCTTCTGATGGGACTTTTTACTCACACCAGTAAGCTCATGCACCTTTATTAAATTACTACATCTCTGAAATGACACTTTGCAACATGTCTGACGAATGTATTACAGTATAAATGCAGCACTCGTGTCACTCACACAGTATGGATCTCAGTTTATTATAGACAAACTCAACATTTAAACAAAGCAAAACAAAACAAAATAAATGATCAGGGTGTTTGATTTCAGTTTCACTTTGATTTATTCTTTCTGAGAAGTTTCCTCTGACTGTCCAGACGCACACTTCCAGACAGATGAAGAGAGGAGGTGATAAAACCAACTTGATTTGCTCATTTTAATCGACTTTAATCCTTACAGTTCAGGAAGCTTTAAGAGCAGCAGCAGGTTTAAACCCTCTTAAACCACGAC